CTTGGGTAGCGCCCCAAGTGTAATTTTCTTTACAACTTTTAAAAAATGAGAATAATGCGAGAAGAGGCAGGTGTGATGGCACATGCCTTTAATCCCAGCACTCTAGAGATTGAAGCAGGAGGGTCCTGACACTGTCTAAAAAAAAAAAAAAAAAAAAAAAAAAAGGCAACATGAAGCTACGGTTACATCTAATTAATGACTATTTGTGTATTCATCATACCAGACTCCAAATTGTAAATTTGTAACTTCTACTGTGGAAAAAATAAAGCCTTTTTAATAACATGAGAATTATGAGCTGGATGATTCCTAGTGAGGGAATACTGTACTACACATTTGCATAGGAAGGCTTAATTTCAGGGGATGGTGCTGGGGGCTGAACCCAAGGCCTTCTCACTGAGCTACATTCCAGACCCTTTTTAATTTTTTATTTTGAGACAGGGTCTCCCTAAGTTGCAAAATATCCCAAGTGAGACTTAAACTTACAGTCTTCCCTGCTCAGCCCTCCAGAGTTCTGAGAATGGAGATTGTAAGGCTTTGCAACATTTGTGATAATTAACTTATGTGAAATGCCGAATGAATGCTTGGTACATGCATATTTCTTTGCTCTTTCTCCACAGCTGTTACTTCATTATTTGAGGGGGAAAATACTTAAAATATTTTATTAGTGAATGAAATAACTTTCCAACCCCACAACAGCACCACAAAGCCCAGGACCGTGTCTTTTTTTTTTTTTTTTTTTGTGGTTTTTCTCCGGTACCAGGAACCGAACTCACGACCTTGCGCTTGCCAGGCAGGCGCTTTTGCCGCTGAGCTAAATCCCCAGCCCAGGACCAGGACTGTGTCCTTTATACCACTATTGTTGACAATAATGATCACACATACAGAGAGTAGTGTAAACTGGAGGTCTCTGTAGCTGTGTGGGACGTCACATAGTTTACATGTAAACTGCACAGCTCTCCAGGGCCCCAGCTCAGCAGCCTGACCACCAGCACAGATTCCTCTTTCATTAACTTCTAATTCACTCACTCGCTAGCCTCCATTGATTTTATCTCCTAAATATTTATTACTCCATCCCCTTCTTTGTAGCTGCTCTCCCTGTAGATCACCTTCATCTATTAGCTAGACTGATTTAATAGTCTTCATACTGCTCTCTGACTTGAATGTTGCTTCCCTGGTCTTTCTCTTTAATGCATCCATTCTCAATTTATGACAAGAAAGTGAACATTTAAAAATTTCCAAGATAGGAAGGAAGTTGTTCACTATAAAATGATTACATTGAATTTGATTTTTGTGTAATCTGTTCTAGGCCTGATAGGAACAGTAACTTGTTCCTATTTAGGAGGAGATGATTTTGTGATTGATGGAAAATGATTACTTAACCAGATATATGGGAAAAGCAGGATCTATTAAATGACCTACAAGAATAATGGCCTTTAAAGGTAAGATGTGTTTATCTTACATGAGATTTAGAAGGGGCTAAAACATTGGGATAAATTTAAGAAAGAGATTGTTTCCAGATGGATTATAACTTCACAACCTCATAAATGGGATCAAACCCAGGACCTGTGCATGAGCTACATTCCAAATCCCCTTTTTACCTTTTCTTATTTTGAGATCTTGTTTTGCTAAATTGGTAAATTGCCTAGGCTGGGCTCAAACTTGCAATCCTGCCTCAGCCTCTCAGAATGCTGAGATTCCAGGTGTGTACCACCATGTCTGACTAAAAATCTTTTTTAGAGATCTTAAAAATGGTTTCTTGTCCCAGAAATAAAGAATTTGCTTATTTATATCTATATGGTGACGTTTTTGTGATTTTCTACTATTATAATTGTCATCTTCTGATGTCTTCATTGTGCTCCTATTTTGCCATTTTAGTTTATCTAAAAAAATCATAAAAATGAACAGATTTAAATTACTTTCCTTAACTTAAACAAGTAGGGATATTTAGTGGAGGATTTCTGTGAGGTGTACATTCCCAACCTTGATCCCAGTAACTGTATACCCTTTTATAGATTTGCAGCAAAATTGTATCTATATCCTTGGGTCTGAGTGTTAAAATGTTTCTTTTGGTGGAGAGGTCCACTCTCCCAGGAACTGGGATCGTAGAGCTCTATAGAGCCAGAGGGACACTTCCACTGGCATTATCTGTGAGCTCACTAGGATTATATGTTAGGCTGGACCACAAGCATTGGAAACTCTGGAAGTGGGGCCCAACAATCTGTTTTAACTAGCCTTCCAGGTGATGCTAACTGTCACCGAAGGCTGAGAACTACAGCACTGACCAAGTTGAACCCTCTGATATTTAGATAAGGAATCAAAGATCCAAAGAGGCAAAGTAATCAGCAAAACTACTAGGCTCTTCCTTTGGTGATTCCTAGGATGATTTGTTTATTTTAATTGCTAAGCAATATTTTAAAGAATGCTACATGGGAATAAGTATAGTAGGGGGTGAGTGTGTCCATCTTTAACTCATCACCTGGACAGCATCTTAAAAGTTTAATAGTTTTTCGATCTACTGAAGTTTTGTCTGAAAGGAAAGTTGGCTTAGTATTTGTTTATTCATATGTTTCTTATTTCCCAAAGCAAGTGTCTGAGTTATGGCATTTACATAACTCAGCCCATCACTTTGCTGTCAGTCTAATGATTCTCCAGGATGTGGCCCTGGATCTATTATAGGGAGCTAAGTCAGACAGAAATTAATATATAGTAAGAGAGGGGCTGGGTTCTTAAGGAAGTCGGTGAGAAATAAAGACATCAGAACTGTGGCTGGAGGCACATTTGAAGAAGTCCAGGCCTCAAGATAATGCCACACTGGCCAGCCCTTCATACTTCCCTAGGAGAGAAGCAGAACTTGAGACTATATTGTAAATAGTATCACCCAGTCCACTAAGTCCAGATATGCATCAGACACTTGGATGGGGTGACTAGGACATCTGGACCCATCCCTTTCTCAAAATGTTCTTGTTTTAGAAGTCACAGATAAGCCAAGGGTAATGATGTCAGCTATACACCCTTGCTACATGCCCTGCTTCCTTACCGGATCAGTATTAGCTAAGTGGCTATAATCTTATTGGTTGGTTATAGTTGGACCCAGGTTTTACCCACATTATAATTGCTGTATAAATTACCCCTGACAAAGGACCTTCGTAGCAACTCACTTGGGACCCCTCCTGTTTCTCAAGAGCTATTCCTATTCCCCAAGAAACCCTTTCCACTCTTCACCTCCTTTGTTCTTTGGAATTCATTCTTTGATTTCTGGAGACACTAACTTGGCACACCTGACATGTAGCACGTTGGGAGTTACATTTCTCCTGAATCAAAGCTACCTACCTTTTTTCTCTTTCCTTCTTTCCGTGGTGCTGGGGATTGAATCCAGGCCCTATGCTATACACTCCATCTCTACCACTGAGCCCTAGCCCCATCTTTCGTATGTTAATACTCATTTAGAAGATGCTTAAAGTGATTAAGAATAACATTAGTTGGACTAGACCAACATTTTTAGTGTCTTTTAATTTTGGTTCTGTAATGAAAACTCCCTCTGCTAATATATCTATATGTATATATTTCCAATGTAACATAGCGTTTGCTCCAGAAATTTGCATGGTATTAAATGGTGTGGTGTTACAATGCTTCTTGAGACACTACAATACAGTTTCCTTGTCACTTGAGAAAGAAGAGAATTCACTGTAGGAGTGTCAAGCAAGCGATCACCAGGTCAGGAGCTGAAACAATGGCTATTCTAAACCACACATATACAGCCTGGTAGCCCTGGACTTTCCACAGCACATACAAAGGTCAGGGCTCAGCACCTCACAGCTGTCAAGAGATCTGTTTTTCTGGACTACACTGTGTGGGATAGTCAGAGTTAGGGCAAAATGATGGGTACTGGAGAATAAGAACAGACTATACCTCTGTATCGTCAGAATTATCTGCCTCAAATTTCAGTAGTGCTTAACTTTTTCAGGGTGTTTTCGTTTTACTTAATCCATGTAATAACCCTGTGAAGAAGGAAATTGGGGGGCTGGGGATTTACTTCAGCGACACAGCGCCTGCCTGGCAAGGGCAAGGTCGTGAGTTCAATTCCTGGTACCGGAAAAAAAAAAAAAAAAAAAGAAAAAAAAAAAAGAAGGAAACTGGCACCAGCAAAACCCTTTTCAAAACATAAACTGATTCCACGAGGGGAAAAGATAGCGGGTTTGACAAAACCAGAGAAGTGATAGAAAGGGCTGTCAGCGAGGAGGCATCCAGAGAGGGCGAACGGAGGAAGTGCGGATCTGCGACCAGAAAACCGGAATGCACTGTGCACGGGAGAGCTGAAGTCCAGTACGAAGAGGAGAACAGGTGGCCTTTAAAGCCGCGTGGAAGGCGAGTGGCCTCCCTGCCTGTCCGAGGGGTGTGATCGTCCCCAGAGGATGGCCACAGGAATCGAGCTCCCCAGGCTGGCGGCTTCACCTGGGATCCGCCTAGGCGAGAGGCTATGGCGGCGCGGAAGGCTGGCGGGGCTGGGGGCGCGCCGTCGCCGCCTAACAAAGGCCACCGCGGCCCTCCGTAGCACGCAGCCCTACGCCGCCGGAAGGGTTAACCCCTCGCGGGCGCTGTGCGCATCCCGGCCCCGCCCTGTCGTCGCTAGGAGACGCCGGAAGTGGGGGCGGGCAGCGGCACGGGCGCGGTGGGAATCTTTTTCGGGAGCTGGGGCAGAGGGACGGCGCGTGCGCTTCGCCGCCGTCGCCGCGGTGACCGTCCTCGCGGCCCGCC